GTAAGTCTCTCCTGTAACTATGATTGCTGTAAAGCATTCGAAACGCCAGGAACCAAAAATCAAAATAAATACTCAAAAAATTTAAATTACTGTACGATGAAAAAATATTAGTCTACTAGAGCTGCAAATTTTCTCACCATAGATATGTATACATACATATTTGATTCGTATAATGTAAGAGTATATCCAGGAAATCGATTTCGATTAAATTCTATTTTTTTTAGAGAAACACCAAGCGTTAGACTTAATATTGACTTATAATTATTTTATTATATTATTTTATTTAAAAAAAAACAAACTCCAAGACAAGTTTATCCACCTAGGATGAAATAGAAATCCCTATCTTTATCTTTCACTAAACACCATCTGATTTTAAAATCATCATTGTTTAAAACAGTTTTATTACATAAACATAAATTATGAACATGTTTCCAGATGTAAAAAATTTAGAGCTCATAAATTACTGTTTAGATAAATAATTTGAATTTTTAAAAGATAATTTTATTTTAATTCATCCGGGCTTGAAGCCAAGCGACACACTGAGAGGTTGTCCGGTGGGTGATTTATTATATGGGCTGTTCCTGGTACTTCTGTGAAACCAGAGTGGACCGTGGCACAAACCATTGGTCGTGTGGTCTGCCTCGGCAGGCAGCAGTCAGGACGTTGTAGTTCAGCGCTTAATCGATCCTGCGACGCCTTTCCAAGACGTGGGAGGTTCCGTTGGGTGTTAGTGGGTTCTCTAGCTGGTGAGTCTCACATAACCAAATACATTTCCCAACGTTAAAAAAAAGGAACAAAATCTTAAAACTTTTTTATTTAATAAATAATAATTAAAAGTAAAAACGGCTGAAAAATGACATTCATAAATATTTCGAATTTCCTGAAAAATGAATGCATTACACAATCATTGCCTTGGGTAGAAAACAAAAAATATTCGTAAGTGGAAGAAACAAAAGCGTACAAAACTACAATAGCGTCGCCGTGCAAAATCAGTCGGACATATGGCGTAGTGGTTAGTTATATTTATAGAGATAATGGATTTGATTTCCGAGTAGAACAAAATTACTTTCTAACTATAAAGAATATCGACTTTAATGCATACCGCTCTTTTTTGAGGTAGGCCTCGGTTTTAAACTTTATCTTTTTTTAATTTTTTTATTCTAGAAATTCTAGAATAAACTTTTGATTTTCATGAAACTAAGGAAATGTAATCTTCAAAATACATTTAATAAATAAAAAAAACATTAAATTGAAATGTTTAGCCATTTCCGAGAAAAGTATGTTTTATGGTCTCGAGAGCCTAAAAACACCCTTAAGTGGACGTTTACATTAAAAAAAAAATCGTTCAATTTTCAAATAGAGCTCATTATTTTCGTCTTGAACTTTACTTTTTGAAAAAATAAAAACATTGTATAGTCGTCCTGTAAAAGCACCCTTCAAATTTTTAAAAATTGAAGAAATCGATAATTTTTACTTTGTAAACTACTTTTTTTTCAATTATCATTGAAGAAGTGTAATTTATTGACCAAATTTTTATAATATTATTACACTAATGAATTTTTCGGGAAAAAAAGAAAAAGATATTATCCTTCAGTTTTCAATTTGACGCACATTTTTTATACAATGTCGCCGTAAACATTCCAACGTTGTAATTACATATTGTTTAATTTTTTAATTAAAATTAAAAAATAATTAAAATTAAAATTTAATTTATTATGAAAATTAAATTTTCTCAATACTACACGTATATTTTTTATGTTTGACCACGCATAACTTTTAACAGTGTACTCCGATTCTGATGTTTTTTTTATTGGATAGGGTTTACTTCAGAGTTGGTTTTTTAGTTTTTAGCATTTTTTTTGAACTCGGTTTTTATTTTATTTTTTTAAGTTTTATTTAATATTTTAGGGCACATGTATTTGTAAAGTTATAAAAATGAAAAACCCCACCGTTTTAAAAGAAAGAAATAATTTAATGAACATAGGTACATTGGCTAAAGTAAAACCATCGAATTCGAGCTCATGAGCTCAATGTGACGAAATTTTATAAAAATCGATTAAGCCTTTCAGATACCACAACGAAGTAGACAAAATATGTAAGTACATATTAGAAAACCCTTTGATTCTAACAGACATACAGACAAACATTTCGGGTTTTGCTTAGCGGTCTATGTTCTGTACACAACATGTATGACGTAACAGTCAGTTATAAAAAATATTATATTTATAATATTTTATAATATTACTATTATATTATATCTATGGATATTTAACATTATTATTTACTTAAGAGTTCCAAGTACTACAAGAACGTAACGTAAACACTAATGAAGCCTTATTATGACTTCAAAGAAATTCATTTAATCTATTTTCTGATCTACGAGTATACCATCTACGTATAGACTATAAATAAAATGGAAGTGATTGCGGTTGATTTTTAGTAAGTAAATCGTCATCTCAATGCTTATTTGTCCAAGCGACCAATTTACTAGAGATGCATAGATACGCACTTCTGCCGATACGATACCGATATTTATAAAAAAGTACCGCCGATACCGATGCGGACACTGCAGTCTTTAAAAGTCATAAAACGGAAAAAACTGTAGGTTTATGATAGAATACACAGAAACATAAGGCATTACTTGCATTTATACATATAATAAAATTGTAACTAAGTCGAATCTGTACATTAAATATTTTTTGGAAAATCTAATTGAAATAGACACAGATACAGAGGCCGAATCTATAGTTTTTAGAATTTTTGTCTGTATGTCTGTTACCGCATCACGAGAAAAGCACTGGACAGATTTTGATGAAATTTGGTATAATGATAGCTGGTTATCCGGGTCAACATATAGGATACTTTTTACCGCAGAAAAATATCTCATTTCTGAGGAAAAAAAAAACATAAACTGCATTATAAGAGTATACTAATATATAAAACCTAAGAATTTGGTTTACGGTCATCTGAACGCGGGCGGAGCCGCGGGCAATGCTAGTATATCTATACATATAATATAATTGTAACTAAGCTGAATCTGTACATTAAATATTTTTTGGAAAATCTTATTGAAATTGTTCATGATTATCGATACAGAGGCCGAATCTATAGTTTTTAGAATTTTTGTCTGTCGGTCTGTCTGTTATCGCATCACAGAAAAACCACTGGATGGATTTTGATGAAATTTGATATGGTGATAGCTGGTTATCCGGGTCAACATATAGGATACTTTTTACCGCGGGAAAATATCTAATTTCTGGTAAAAAATACAAAAACTGCAATGTAAGAGTATACTAATATGTAAAACCTAACAATTTGATTTTTGGTCATCTGAACGCGAGCAGAGCCGCGGACAGTGCTAGTACATATAATAAAACTGTAGAGGTCGAATGTCTGTACGTAGAAAAAAAATGCTAAATTCTAAAAACAGAGTCAAGGGGATGTAAGAAGAGAAATAGAGCTAAAGAATCCAGATTTCATTCAAAATTTTGGTTTTTCTGTCTATTTGTCTGTTTGTACGGGCTAATCTCCGAAACTGTGGATTCGATTTAAATGAAATTTTGTATGGTGGTACCTTTTATCTCCAGTCAACATTTTAGATACTTTCAACTCGATAAATTAAAGCGATCCCGTGGAATAGTAAAAAAAACCATAGTAACTTATACAGCTTAGTACGCAAAAACTACTGATTGGATTTTAATGAAACTTTACAATAATATAGTTTATACATCAAAATAACAAATAGGCTACTTTTTATCCCGGAGGATGTACGGTTCCCGTGGGTTTAGATTTGTTTTTTTTGTCTAGTAAGTAATATTTATTTAGAATGTTAACTAGCGGGAAATTGTAATTTAACAGAATATTAGTTATTTTTAACTGACTTTAACAAAAAAAGAAGTTTATCAATTCGACACGTTTGTAGGTAGGTATGTAATATTATTGGAACAGTAAAATATTGACAAATAAATATACAACATTTTATAGGTATATGTATGTTTGTCCACGCATTTCTCTAAAACTAGCCATTGGATCGTGATCATTCTTTTTTATTTGCTTACATTTATTTCAACTTAGGGAATAGGAAAGATTTCATCAAAATCGGTTCAGTAGTTTTTATGATATGGATTAAAACGTGTAATGAAAACTGAAATACTTTTTCGTAATTACTACTTATTACAAAAACTATATCAACTTTCGAAAATAAATTTGTTTTGTTTTGCATCAGCTGCCTCCGAAAAAAAATATTTCATACGTATTGGTAAACGTAATTCAAACAATTTACTAGGAGCTGTTAAGAACAGAAAGCAGGGATTACCATAACCAGCATAATGAATACGTTCTAAAAATTAGGGATCTTTTAGTTACGTATATGTTTAAAACTTGATAATTTATTTGTATTATTCTTGTATTCTTGAGAATATGGATAACAAACATCAATTGATTAAATACAAAATTAATATTTTTTACTAAATGTTGTACTTAATAAATGTTGGGTACTTCATGTGCTTACGAATTTTTCTTTTCGTGATTTTTCCAATGTTTTAATAGTTATTCTGCTATTCAGGGCCGAAAATAAATCCAACATATCAAAGATCATAGAAATCTATCCTATCCGGAGCCATTTTTGAGTTATAAATGGTGTAACTAACCCGACTTTGTTTTATAAATATGGATATGAAATGAAATGTTTCGATATTTGATTACTACAAACAACATTGATAGTAAAACATCAATGTTTTGACTGTTAATATCGATATTTCTCGAATATCGAAGATCTTCGACCATCCCTACACAAATACACCACAGTCGATCGTGGGTTCGAATATAGCAAGTTCATAGGAAAGAAAAACAACAGATAAAAAAGTCCATATAGTTTATTTTGGACTAAATTCGGTTTCATAGTTTAAAAATATTTAATTTTGGTACATTATAAATGGACCAAAATTAGGTCCATCATTAGCCTTAACATCCTTTAAATAAATATGATTTTTATATCCTTATGTATCTTCTATTGTGTTTTCTTCTATACATTGAGTTGCATGTTGTAGTTTTTCTTGAATATTTCCTAAAAATTAAAAAAAAACATTGAATAAATTATTATAATTTTAAATAGCAGACATAAAATAATTAAAGAAACCAAATGAGTTAATCTCGATGTTTATACTAGAAGCCATTGGGCCGTCCCACTATCCACCATCTGGCTACATCATCCGATCGGTGAGATGGTTTCAAACTGTGGTGTTGCATTTGGATTTCATCCAAATCCGTCCAGCCATTCTGGCGTGATTGAATAAAAAACATCCAAAAATCTAAACTTTCGTTTATAATATTTTTAATATTATTTGTAGACAATTTTTCATTTATAATATTGGTAATATTTATCATTTCATTAAATGTAATGTCGGCTAAACGCAAGTCGCACACCTAGCTTCGACCGAATAAACTCACTATTTACGCGTATTATGTGTATAATACTTATAAGAGTATAGATCAAAATATTTAAAGATTACTATTACGTTTTAATGTTTAGTATAGATTTCGCAAAGATATTTTCCCACAGTAAAAAGTATCCTATGTATATGTTGACCCGGATAACTAGCTATCATCATACCAAATTTCATCAAAATCCCTCCAATGGTTTTTCCGTAATGCGCTAACAGACAGACAGATAGACAGACAAAAATTTCTAAAAATTGTAGATTCGGCCTCTGATGATAATGTCTATTTTAATAAGATTTACCAAAAAATATTTAATGTGCAGAGTAGGCTTAGTTACAATTTTATTATAGGTATAGATAAAATTACAATAATTGTTACTGTTGGGTCGGTAGAACTATAAAAAGCTGTTATTAGTTCCAAAACAGCCACTAGAGGGATTTTATACCTATTAATAATATACGTACTTAGATCATCTCCAATGGGACATTTCTTAAGATGTTTAGTAATGATCAGTTTCAGGACTGCCTTTTCAGCGGTAAGACGCTGGTTTGATTCCCGAAGTAGCTTATTTTCTTCACTTTGACGTCTCATCGTTTCTTTTAACCTTTCCCTGTGGTAAAAATTGTATTTAATAACTAACATCATAAGTGCAGAATTTTGTGAGCGTGTGTTTGTTTGTTGTGCAGTGGTAGCCCAGTGGTAACGCGCTCACTTGGGAAACCGAGTGAAGCGGTTTCAAAAACCCGGGTCTCGCATCTCTGATATTTTCATTTCCAACATGATTACCACTTGTATTACGGTGAAGGAAAACATCGGGAGGAAACCTGCGTATAAGAGAAAACCTAGCAAATTTTCGAAAGACATGTGTAGTCCGCCAACCCGCACTCGGCCAGCGTGGAGGACTATGGCCTGATCCCCCTCGTATTGAAGGGAAGCCCGTGCTCAACAGTGGGACGTTAAAAAGGGGCTGAATATTTTACATTATAATACAATTTTTTTTACATCTTACCGCTGTAATTACTCAATGGATTTTAGAGAATGTCGGAATGATTATAGTTTATATACTGGAGTAACACATAGAATACTTACTAGTCGTAGAAACCATGTGTGTGAAGACACAGTAGTCTCAGTGTTTATTTGTCAAAACAACCAAATTTACCGAAAGAGTTTTTAATACAGAATTATTGATTTAAATTTTGACTCTATTGGTGTATAATACATATTTTACTCTAAAAAAAGACGAAATGTTATATTTCGTCTATATAATATGTACATGTGTATATAAATCTTAGAAATAAACGCTTTACTGTTAAATAAAAGCAGTATTTATTAGTTGTTTGAACAAATAAGCGTTAAGACGACCAAATCTGGTTTCTTATTTCAAAATTAATAATGGACCAAAGTTAGGTCTATCATTGGTCTAATCTTCTTTAAATAAATATGTTTCCTATATCCTTACGTATCTTCTACGATCAGGTCCTAGGTTAGCTTGTTAAGATACAAGTGATAGGTTTTTTTTGAATAATAATACTTCAAAAGTTAGTTGTCCATCAGAACCATTTTGTGGTATTGCAAAACAACATGCCTATTCAATTCTCAAAATTCACTGCAATCGCCAAGCACTTCAAGAGTGGCAATCCACTTCTGGACAAATACACTCTAAAGCGCTAAATTAAGGGATATCGCAAAACGTTTACAAAAGAGTTGCTTCAACTCAACAAGTATAAAACCAGTGCAGTAACCAGAATACTTACTGGCCACTGCAAACTCAATAAACATATGTTTACTCTCGGCCTCAGTCAGACCGCAATGTGCAGACTATGCCATGAGACAGAGGAAACTGCTATGCTCATCCTCTGCTCGTGCGGTCCACTCATGCACCGCAGAAGTATCTATCTAGGGCAGCATATTATGCAACCGGAAGAGATACAGATGCTTCCCGCTCAGAAAATCTGGAAGTTCCTGGAGTCAACAGGACTAAGCGGAGAACTTTGAACTCATTATAAAGGGAGCTACAATGGACCAAAACTGGTCGACGTAGCTAGGGCCGACCTCGGCACCACACCCAACATAAATAATAATAAATAGTTGTCCATGTGATATTCACTTACCTATATCTTTTAGACGCTGCATTCCGACTGTCTAAATGATGTTTTGAGTTATTTTTGTTGCCGTTAACGTTACTTTTATCATTATCATTTTTATAACTATCATTATCATTATTAACTTTTTTTCTTTTAACACTTTTAAAATTAGTTTTGACTGTGGGCAGAGGCACAATTGGTATTTTATGTAAATTTTGCAAAGGTACGCTTGGATTAACTATGGTTACTGGTATAAGCGTCCCTGCGTGTATAGGCACTATATTGTGTACTAACGGCGTACTTTGCACATTTTGCCTATTATTAGCCGTTTCAGATTTGTTTCTTATCACTTTCTTTAATTTTTCCTTTGTATTCGGTTGAACTTTATCAATTTCATCGACAGCTTTCATCCTTACACGTTTCCCATTAGGCAATTTTATTATAACTTCGTAGTCGTCTATCTTGGATTTATCTTTCAAATCATCAGATTTAACCGAATCCTGCTTATTTCTTACAATTTTGATATCTTTTTCTTCATTTATATCACATGTAAGGCTATCGACTACAAAATCTAAAGATTTCTGACTCATTATCGGTGGCAGTTCTTTTTTGTTATCTATGTTAACTACGTTATTGTCTTTTCTTATTTCAACATTACTATGGATTTTAATGACGTTATTTGTGTAAGATACTGACGTTTCATTAACTCTATCTTTTATTCTAGCTTTTTCATCATCATTTCTGTCTGGCACGTCCTTGACTACTCTACTAATAGTTGTTACTTCATTAGTTAGTTTCGATATTGTCGTTGTTTCATATTCTTTTACGGCGCCCGATTCGTCGCTAGATGATCTAAAATAACACACTTTGATAGTAAATTGTAAAACAATTTCTATTATTACACAAATAAAATAACAATAAAACGTTACAATGAAAATTCTGTTGAAGTTAGCAAATTAGTCTACTATTTGAATATAACCTAAGGGACTGCAGCATGAAAAACTCAATATTAAGAAAAAACTTAATAAAATACCATATATTTACATGGAATAAAAAACGAAGATTTCAATTGTTACTTCAAATACTAGTTACGACTTAAACCGATAATCAATTGATTACAGCTTCCCTTTCGCTGACTAGGATTTTAAACCTACCATTTAACTTTACATCAGAATCGAATCTACACCTTGTCCGCAAATGGAACATAACAGAAATATAAACTCGTACATAGAAATTCATATTAGGTCAAAAAATAAAATTTAGTCTATATTTAAGTAATAAATGGCGAGTTTTTTATGGTATATGTTGGACCATATATACATATGTTTGGACATTAACACACAGCACCATCTAGTAAGTATCATCCACGGTAAGCCACGGCTTGTGTTATGGATACCAGATAGTTGATACATATTATAAATATGAACACCCTGACTCGAGTACAATCATTCGTGATCATCACACAAATGAATGCCCCCAGGGGGATTCGAACCAGTGACTGCTGGCACAGCAAGTAGTGTCACTACAAACTGAGCCATACGTGTCGTCAAATGTAAGATGGTTCAGTGTCTATTGTACAAATAGTACACAAAAATGTCAGGTTACAGGTACGAGTAGTTGAAGGTATCTTTATCTCTATGGAAGATGAACTACGTGTTTTTGCTTTATTTCTTTTAAATTATAACACCCAGGTTAATTAAAGTATTTATTACTAGTGAATAAAACTAAGAACGTCAGCTATCTGCCAGCGAAAGTCCTGTCAAAATTAGTCCATCCGTTTTGCAGATTAACCAAAATAAACAGACAGACAAAAAATTTAAAAATTGTATTATTCTTATAAATACTTTACTAATTTCATATGCATTTAATAAAAAGCTGTTAATTTGACATTACAAACAGACACTTCAATTTTATTTATCTGTGTAGATAGCATCTTTCGAGCATAAAATTGACATGACAAACTATACTATATCATCAACACATCTTTCCAATCATCTAAAAACATACATATACCTGCTAATAGTAATATTTCTTTGATTGTTTGCTGTATATAGGGTACAGTCACCCGATTCTAAGGGAAACACCAAATGCGGAGTGTGCAAGGCATCTTCTGTTGATGATCCATCTAGGGGAAGTATGCTGTGTCTGGAAGTAACAGTTAATAGTTAGAATAGACTGGATTTTTTGACTGATTTCATTATAAAATTAATTTTAGTCAATTATGAACTGATTTTGAGGATTTTTCATTTTGTTAGGCCCATATGAATTTGATAAACAATGAATGTAAACTATTATTACACAATTAAATATAAACAATTTACTTCTTAAATAATTGCTGTACTTAATATTATTTTACGTTATTTCCTACATACATGAGATGACTGGAAAAGATCTCTTATAGAAATAAGTCCACCTTAGGCCACATCACTTTTTGTGTATTTTTTTATAACTTTTTTGTGCAATAATATAACATTATTTTAGTAATAGAATGTTTAGGCAGTGGTAGCACAGTGGTAACGCGCTCGCTTGGGAAACTGAGTGAAGCGAGTTCAAATCCCGGGTCTCGCACCTCTGATATTTTCATGTGCGAATCATTTCCGACACAATTACCACTTGACTTACAGTGAAGGAAACCAGTGTGAAACCTGCATCTTCTTCTTCATCTCATCATCTTCATCTTTTTAGTTAGCTTTTATGCAGTCGGGTTTTTATTTTTATAATATGTTTTTTTATTGAATATAAACTTGACTACTTACTTAGTTTCCATAGCCCTTTTAAATCCTTCATCGAATGGATTGACATTTTGTAGATCTTGGAACAAACCTACTTCTTCACAGTTTCTTATAAACCGAGTTGGTGTTGGTGTTTGATCCGCTGAAATTAATAAATATATGTATATGAAATAAATTATATATGAATGAATTGTATATATACTGTACTCTCTCTCTCTCTCTCTCTCTATATATATATATATATATATATATATATATATATATATATATATAATTGATCAATTTTAAGATAATGTCTCTGATCTTGAACCAACATTGTCCATTGAGACCGATCTAGACCTACTCTTGTCCAGAATTATCTTAGTATTTCATGCCAATAGTCCTCCCACCTTCTTTTTTGACCAACTTTTTACACTTCCCGTCTCTGCTCAGACTGATTTATATGTGGTTTTCACTGGCAGATAGCTCATATTATAAGGATAACGGAGTAGCTTAAGGTACTTTTATTTTAGAACTAAGCAAAAAAAACTTAAGACCTATGAAATTGTGAAGAAAATCAGCGTACCTAGGGATGCACCCTACCAAAGTGAAGGTAAGCCACTAGATCATTTATAAAAAAAATCTGTAGGAAATGAATAAGTTACAAAAAACATTCTTCACTTTACCTACCCACAAAAGCAGCTTTCTGCTCCATTCCCAGTTGAAGTACCATGTCGTGTTTCTTAGTGTGTACATGCAAATGATCTTCATTTGTAAATGTCATGCCACAATCTGGTAGAGTACATGCAAATGGCTTTTCAGGCTCCATATTATAGTCATTCAAGATTCCCGTTAATATTATTAAAGTTTACAGAGAATGAAAATCCATGTGGTGATTACGTGTAATGCTATTTTCATTAATTTAATCTTGATAGATAATATTATGATAACACTCGATTTTAAGGTTTCATGTTTGCGTCAATTACTTCAAGTAAAACATATTTTATTAAATAACGCCAGTTTATTTTAAATTTCAATATATGACTATGTGTGCTACTGAGGGTTCCCTTATTATAGCTTTTTATTTTAACTAAAATTACATGTTTATTATAATTTGTGACAAAAACAAGTAGACAAACAAATTGAAATATAACTGCATCACAAAAGGTAACAAGTATATTGAATATAATAAATATTTGAACATAAATTATCACTCCTTATTTATTTTAAAAACATTAAAATTATTAAATATCAACAATAAATTAAACTATGATCCACTCATGCACTGTCAAGTGTCAACTGTTAAGTGCCAATGTCAACATTAACTTTGTAATTTTGTATTGATTTTGACAAACCTATAAAAATGCGTTCGATTTAGTTTGTTTTTGACTAATTAAAGATATATATATATATATATATATATATATTATAATCTCCTTACTATTATATACTACATCTGCTATTTTTGATCCATTTTATAAAAATGTTAACATTTCGTAAATTTCAATCCTTATTGATTTATATTCATGTATAAATTATATTTTGGTATTATTGTGTGATTTTGTATTGTATAAGATAAAATAAACTTAGTTATAAAAAAAATCTACAAAATTTTTGATTCATGGCTTTAAAAAGAAGTATAATAATTATCATAACTAAGTATATTAACACCTCCAGGTAAATTTCTAAGAAATTAATTAAATTTCTAAAAAATCTATTGATAACAGTAACGGCGGGGTGTCCGCGATCGTGGAGGGATAAAAATTAATAACAATTAAAATTGATTAACAATTGCATTAGTATATTTTTCTTAATATGCAATAATATAAATAGCAGTGTATTATTTTTAAGACATATTACGCTTATGACTATAATCTTTTACATTAGGGAAATACGAAGTATATTTTTCAGGCGAATAAACGTGGAATTTGCTTTGTTTTTCACTCATTCTGTCGAATAATGGGTAAGTAGTTGACCTTTTCTTCCTCGGGCCATCCTGTATTTGCTGGTTGGGGTAGGGGTCAACGTATCTCCTTGAGTTAATATCGTTGCCATCCGCTGTCGGGAATATTGTTGGCTAGATAAAATGTTAGGCACTTATTTTTCATTAAAAATTAATATTTTTTTAAATTAAAAATGAGATATTTTTATAACTCTATTTACAAATATTCTATTAGGTAAGTCTAATTGTTATTTCAATTCTTTAAAATATGTTTGAAAATACGAGGTAATAAAATCTCATCATTATATTATTCTGTTATTTGTACATTCAATGCTAGCTCATCAAATTAAAATCTATAAATAAAAATTTAAAGAATAAAAGTATTACTTTTATAGCCACGATAATTTACTGAACGCTTTCTTTGTCTTCAGTCATTATCAGAGGCCATGTTGAAAATTAATAATTACTTGGCTTGCCTGCGCCTCTGTTGGAAAAAATGCCAGCAGACTGCGTTTGTGGTTCGCCACTTACGGTGTTCTGTTGGATACCGGGCATACCCACAACCGGGTTTGGTTCATTTTGTTGTCCTTTCCAGGGTCTGATAAATTAAAACAATATAATTGAAAAAGATAATCTAGACACCTTAACACACAAATAATAATGTACATTACATGTTATCCAAGATTTACTTTAAGAAAATTTCTTTGTATTTACACATACTTATCTGGGAATAGTTCACCAGGCTGCCCTCGAGTTTGAACAATACGTTCACCGTTAACATCCACGACGCATCTTAGACGGGCACAGCATGTTGGAAATTCTTTAAACATAAATATATTTTGTAGCGTTCATTAAAACAATGTGACTACTATTGATTATACAAGCGAAAGATTGTATGTGTGTATATGTTTGTTACGCATGAAACTTGTTTTGCAGATTTAGGATTCGTATTTATTTTACTGTTTGGCAGCTAATAAAATATAAAAAAAATACAAAACTAAATATTTACAAATATGGAAACTATGCACCTCTGTAGGTTCTTTATTATTATCGAAATTCATACATACCAACATTTTCATCCTCAATGTATTCATGACATTCCAAGGCATTCTCTGGAATTTTAGGCTTACGACAACTGAAATTAAAATAGACTGGTAAAAAACATAAAAATGATAGACAAATACGCTTTTTTGTATACAAAATAACTTTTACCCCACTGCTGCTATGAAATATTTTCCATCTCGTATTTCACATCGGTATCTGTGACAAGTGTAGTGATCTGACCATTCCTGCCACGGTTGATAGCCTTTCCTCGAATATTTATCCATACAAGCTTGGTCTATAAAATAATTTTTTACATTTACTTATACAAATCAAGTCGTAAATAATTGTAATTCGCTTTAAATATAGAATTCATAAATTAGTACTTACAACTAACGTCTTCGGCAATCATTGTGGGAAATGAAATAAATAGCGAACATATTATCGTCAAGAAGTTCATCTTGATTTCTATAGAACTGTAAAATAAAATCTAAGTTTTGTATTTCAGCAAGCTTCATTCAGAAACGAAACTGATCTGCAACTGGATAATTTTTTTCGGTCTAGAAATACATTTTCCAAAGTCAGTTTATTTTGAAAACATTCTAATACAATGATGATATCATTTGGTGAAAAAGTATAATATTTTGTGAACGATGAGGATTTCCCATGTAATGTTTTAATAACATTAGGTACATGTTGGGAAAAATAAACGTATTAAATAGTAAAAGGTAAATTGCATAATTAAATCAATTAATCATGAAATGAAAATAAAACTACTTATTTATTTGATTGTTTGTCTGTTCAGCAAAAGCACAATTAGGTTAAACACTATGATTTGTTGACACTATTAATATTTATAATTTTATATTTTTTTCTTCATATTTTACTAGATGGTAAGTCTATTAATTGGGTGTTAATTGGGCAATTATAAACAATAGAGAAGGGCGCTAACGTTGATCAAAACGATGGTTCCATTGCTTTTAACTGAAATAAATCACTTTTAAAATTCATTTTTATAAAAGTGTATGCTGTGATAAATATTTATTAAATTCAATTTGAGCTTTTTACAAACTAGTACTTACGATTATATTCGAACGAGTTTTAAAGATCAGTGCATAATAATCTAAGTACACATCCATACAAGTCGTGAAAGAACAATCTTATATTATTGTTTGTGGTTATTTTTCTTCGTATGTAAATTCTTAGAATTCATACATTGTCACAAGTGTTAACAATAGTATAATCATTTTACTGTTCAAATACATTTCTATGAACATGATGAACATAAAACGAGATAATATATTAGTTATATTTCTTTTCAAAAAAATCAATCCCATTATCCCTCCTTGGCCTTTAATAATATTAGTCCTTCTAATATTATAAATGTGAACAGTGAAAGTTTGTGAGGATGGATGTATAGATAGATGTTTGTTACTCTTTCACGCCAGAACGGCAGAACGGATCTAAATGAAATTTGGCACAGAGATAGATTTGAGTCTGGAATAGCACATAGGTTTTTTATCTCGAAAAAATGTACGCTTCCCGTGGGATAGATTTATTTTTGTTTTTAACTAGGGACAAATCCGAACTAGGCGAGGGTCGGTTGTTTGTAGCTGTCCTAGTATTCGTATACTTTTTTGTGGGGATTTGATTTTCTTAGTGGCATTACTACTTAAAAGTAACAGTAATTACCGTCTGTAATTATGCTCGGTGTCGGTAGGGAGTATAAAATATCTTTCACAAATAAAGTGAACATAATATTTTGTGCAAATATCCTACGAATATTAGTAACACGATGTTTATGAGGATGGATTGATTGATGGATGTTTGTTAATCTTTCACGCAAAATCTCATGAACGGATTTTGACGAAACTGTACAGTTATATAGCTATTACATCGGCGTAAACATATGAGGTGTAATGTTTAAATACATAGTAATACATAATTGAACTACGCGTGCATAACCGCGAGCAAAAGAGTAATTTAAAATAGCAATTCAGTGAAGTCACAATCAATCAAATAGAAATAATTCTAGTATTTATTTAGTATGTCTAACCATAATTATGCCAACAAACTATTTTTTTACGCTACATAAAGAGGATAATAATACAACATTAAAAAGAACAACCATTAATATAATTATGTATTTATTTTAGTTGCCGAGGTATTTATCTTTGAGACAATTTCCCAAATGAAAATTTTCATAATTGTAAATTAAATGAAAACGAAAAGTGTTGTCATTATAAAATTAGTATTATAAGTGCTAACTCCTGAATGTGGGTTCACATTCTTGTTATGTACCATGCAGGCTGCTTATGGTACTTCTCTGATAGCACAGTGAACTGTGAGAAATACTCCAGATCTTGTGTTCTGTCAAGATAGGCCAGCGGACCGGTGCTCTTGGTTAAGTGCGTGCAACATTCCAACAAAGGATAAGTTTACCCAGCGATTTAAAAAAAGAAAGAGTTTCGGTGTGTCATTGCCTGTGCTATAATGTTAGTTACAAAATTGCTTACAATTAAATAAAAAAAAATAGCATCCACCATAATAATCATAATCAACAACTGTCAAAAATTCGTAAAAGCCTTTTTTTGTAACTGGTTACTGCATTTGATCTGTTATCTTGAACGCATCTACAAATATGGCGAATGCCAATTGCCAGAGCGTTTACAAAATTTAATACGACAGAATCACAGATTACAGATCACGGAATGCTTCAGTCAAAAGCTTAGCTTTTGCCTCTATAATTTTAATTTTTAAGTACCTACAATAAAAGCTATATAAAATCGAATAAATACAACGTAGTGCTAAGCTAATTGTGTTCAGTGCTTTAAATAAGTTTATATATTAAGAATATACAAATGAAGTGAGTATTATTATTTTATTTATACTACCTATTCAGCCTTTTTTTATATATAATAACTTTTTGTTTTTCTTCATTATATTAATTTAGTTTTTTTAGAAATAATATTAAACATTTTGAAATATATAATTAATATTTTGTATCGTTATTAGATTATTTTTTAATAAAATTTATTCCCACCCACATTTAAAAATGTTACAAAAATGGGCGCTTAGATTATTCCTTAAAACCTACCCCATTTTCATATTCTCGTACTTGGGTATAGATACTAATTTATATCGATATTAATATATTGAAAGGAAATTATTTTACTTTTATAAACTATCCACGAAATAAAATACGATGCGATCGTACCGTAAAAATATTTAATATTATTGTTGATAAATATCCTGTTTACCCTTTAAAAAAAAACTAAATTTTATTTAACTTTAACAGATATCTAGTTATATATTCCAGTATAGTTTTTACTAAAAAGAAAATTATTAATAAAATTCATTAGAATTTTTGTGTTGATTTATTCTTTTAATTATTGTAACATCAACGAAATTAATTCATGATTAAAATACAGTGTTCACTGATAAAGCATGTAAATGTAAAACATTGACTCATAGCTTTAGGTATGAAATTAGATCCTTTGTAGTAAAAAAATAATAATCTTAGCATTTTATAATTATTGTTGAGTCATATATAACATAAATACATTGCATTAAAATATTTTAGGTATAAATTAAATGTTATAAAACAAGTTGCTGTTTGAATTACTAATAATTGTGTGTGGTAATGGAATTTTAATATTTGGTAAAAATGTGCATGTCAAAGTGATTAATAAATAACAATCTATGTATATTTGAATGTGTGTTTGCCTATGGCCAATATATAATACTGAAACTGGATTTTAAATTCATGTGTTTTAATTTTTGACATTTATGACGTCACTATGAATGTGCAATAAATAGGTGTGCAATATTATATGTTTTTTTTTGTGGCATAATTTGTGATCAGTCTTAAGCAAGTTACTTACTATTAGCGATCTACCCTCCCTTTGCTCGGGTGTGTCCTTAGGTATGTATTATTTTTTTGAGAGGAACTATAATCTATAAAGGTAAATAAAATTGAAATGGCTGATCGTAATGTCAAAATTACAGATTTTTAAATGATTTTTAAAGTGAAACGAGTGAAGATTTTTAAATGCTTATGAAATTATTTATGGTATTTATAAGAAAAACACAATTTTTTAAATGTGTTTTTCTTATAAGTACAGCATGTGTATATTTTCATATGCATTTAGTAAAAATCTGTTATTTTGATATTACAAACAGACACTTCAATTTCATTTATCTATATAGATAAGCAAATTTGTTGAGATATTGCTGTTAAATAAAGTTGATCCTCATTAGGATCAAATCTTCATTACTAAGCCTAGAATTATAATGCTAGATCTAGTAAGCCTTGAATGCTTTATATAATTTTACATTTATTTTATTTATTAAAAATATACTTCAGACTAGCATCCTTTGTTATTGATAATGTGAAGTAGTACTGACACTAGATTCTTCTAAACTGTCATTTACTAAAACTATAAATTATTATATTATTGAATGTAAACGAACATGGAATCCATAATTTTAAACTTTAACCTCTAAAAACTTTTTGGTAATCTTATTAGATTAAAAATCCTTTCATGTTACTTTGGGTCTTTAATAATGCAAATGATACACTTTTATATAATACAGTTATTACTAAAAACCTTTTATGTAATGCAGTTATTACTAATTGTAATGTATTGAACCATTTTTTAATATCCCACTGCTGGGCACAGACCTCCCTTTACTACAAGTGGGATCAGGCCATACTCCACCATGCTGCTTGAAGGACTTCACATGTCTTTCAGAAACTTGCAAGGTTCTCTCATTGCATGTCTGAGTTACTTCTCAATGTTTTCTTTCACCATTAGACAAGTGGTAATTATGTTGGCAATGATTTGTACGTAAAAATATCAGAAATGCGAGACCTGGGATTTGAACCCGCTTCACTCGGATTCCCAAGCGAGCGCGTTACCACTGGGCAACCACTGCTTTCATAATTTAACGTATAAATTATAATTTGTAAATCTATCGGTAGTCCTTGAACTTTGTCCGTAGCTAACTATTATAGCAAATTATTGAGATATGAAAAAAGTCAAGGGCATACATAATGGAAAATTTAAATTGCAATTTGCTTGTAAACAAACTTAATGTTCTTAGCGGTGATTAGAATTTTTTAGTGGCTTAAAAGTAGCAGTAGCAGTTGATAGTACAACTCAACTATAACTGTTTTAATTAGTTAATCGTCTTCAAGTTGTAACTTCAATGTGTCATAAATTTCATCCAAATCCATCCAGCTGATTCAGAGTGATTAGTTATGAACATACACACATACGCACGCACACAGACACACAAAAACTTTCGCATTAATAGTAATAGTCTGATTGACTGAGACATACGAAAAGCTTTATTGTTAAATTTAATAGTAATAAGAATCCGCATTCAGATAAAAAGTTTAATTAAAAATACTTTAATTTTTATTTTAATTAATTAGTTTTTATTTTTAAAACATACGATGTCTCGATACTTTTTTGTTTGACGTAATAGCGAATTTACGGGAGGAATAAAATGTTTATTTTTTTATCCAATTATAAAAGTTACATAACATAACCATCTTATAAAATTTTCGTATCAAATTATACGATGTGGCAGCCCCGCACGGTTGTCTACCGAGTGTATACCGAACGCGACGCGCGTAGGTATAACTCGATTTTCGAGCTTTTGTATGATGATGGAATACTGTATGTAACATTACCGTGGCAATATTAATGAATGTCCTGAACATAGCGTGCGTGAAGGCCACATCGCGATGAGTCTTTTAATATGCATTTTGATTGATCATTTTTTATAGAGAAACGCTGAATTAGATATACGTATATATAGATTTCTCCATCTATGTAATCGCGCTGAGGTTTATAAAGTCTTATAATAATTACTTAACAGCTTGTATTTTTACAGTAGCCTCCAGTCATCGAGGCTTAGCGAGGACGATCTTCTCAGTTCCCCGTCCTCAGATGAAAAGATGGACACAGCATCAGAATCTCTAAGATCTACCCAAAACACGCCCAATTCCATCTTATCAGATTCAGACGAACGAGAGACTGAAGTTCTTAGACTACAAAATCCAAATGTTTTGAGACTCTCCGAGCCGGAAAAGTTAGATAATAAAATCTTAATCAAAACAGATTTAAGCGATAGTGTAATCATAAAAATGTCTAATTTGATGATTGATTCATCAAAGAAAAGGCCCAAAAACTTGGGCATTAGCCCACCGAGACATAGTTCAGCGTTAACTCTAACAACAAATCATCCCTTAATGGGATTAGGGAGTCCGGATGAGAATTTTCCCGACGCTCTCCCCAAAAAGGTGACTAAAAATGAGGAAGAAAAGGATCTGAGTGTCTCCAGCATAGAAGACGAAAGGACGACGACTAACGGCTACGAATTGTACACGCCTTTAAGGAATACGTCAAAGAACAATTTATACTACTCAGATAACTTCGTGACGGCCGACAGTCAGGTTTTAAATGATTCCTTAAATTTTACGCCAGATGTCGCGAGGATGGAACAGAAGGAGAGGCGAAAAATCATTCCTCGTTTTATAGGAACGCCTGTGGCAGATAATGCGACGCAAAAAGACTGCTTCGATGACAATATTGCCATAAAGAAGTATGCGGATAACAAATTGTTTATCCAAAGTACGCCCAAGGCCCTTGCAATTGACATTCCTGAACCTGAAGAGTTTCATACAGTGAGTATTGACAGTAATATCAATATAGAGAGTTATTGTGTGTTTTGATGTAGTTTTATAACTCCAGAACTCCAGTATAATTTAGTACTGATGGTGTCATTTTTAACCAACTTTAAAGAAAGAAAGGTTAATCAATAGCGGCATATGTATTTTAAAGTTTTATGCATTACCTTCGTGAAATGCCAAAAGGCTTTCTATGATTTTTTATAAATAGGTTATAAATATCCACCTCTACATGTCGATTGATTACATTCAAAATAACGTTAAGGAAGGTGACTACTTATAAGTTAGAAAGTATCATCATAAGTAAAAAAATATATCATAAACAAACTACGTTTTGCCCGCACCTTTGCTCGCGTGATTAGCGGGGCGGATCAAGGATAGCCTATGTCCGATCCCAGAATGCCATCTATCTCCTTGCCAAATTTTATCGAAATCTGTTCAGCGGTTTAAGCGTGAGAAGGTAACAGACAAAGTTACATTCACATTTTTATTATTAGTATGGATATAAATCGAAAGTTAACATTAGATATAATTCACAACACGTATTTCTTTTCTTTTCGAAATAGGTCAGCCTTTAATGATGAAATGTTAGACAAATATGTTTTTTCTATACCCAGTTTCGTTGGTTTGGACTCTAGTTGCTAGTATATGCGAATTTAGATTGTGATGTCCCGGGTTCGAGACCCGGATTGGGCCAAAAACAGTAACTGGGATTTTTCTGTCATGAAATAGCCAGTAGTCCCTTAGGCGTCGAACAATAAGTAAAGCTCTCGGTCTTTCGCTTTGTTTCTCGACGGTCATGTGGAATCGTCGTTTTAGTTGGCTAGTCTCAGTGGGCTGCTCTAACCGAAATCGGTTACGAGACATAATACATATGTCTTACTGAACTTAGATATAGTGGTGAGTTCGATTCTCTCGGTGCAAATGCCTGGCCTTATTTGGTTATGAGAATTGAGTAAAATTGGCATTTAAAACTAACACATTTGTATAGAAAATTGGTAAAGTAGTAGGTTTTTGGTGTGTAACGCGATATCTATGCTTATTGTGAACTAATTTTTCAACCGACTTCCTCATAAAGGAGGAGGTTCTCAATTCGGCTGTATGTTTTTTTTTACCTCAGAACTCCGTCATTTATTAACCGATTTGGACAATTTTTGTTTCGTTTGAAATTGTATACTTATAGATTGGTCCCATGTAAATTAAAAAAAAAAATAGCACCCCTTTAACCTACTTCTAATTGTAATACTGCCTTGAGTGTTTCTATTTCGGTTGATAGTGCAGTGGTTCGGTATAGTTGACCTGATCTGATGGTAAGGCCAGAAGGTGGATAGGTGGAACTCTTCAACGGCTAATAGTGATACTTTGAGTTTGGTCCTATTTTGTTTGATTTGAGAAGCCTAACACGTTAGAATCGGATTTTAGAGCCAGAATTTTTAGTGTTAAATGTTAGTAATAAAAGCGAATTTTAGTTTGTAAGTCTTCATATAAAAATTGGCTTCAAAGTAATTTAAACGGTTTAAGCGAATATTTTATTACAATACTTTTTTCTTACTTTGCTACTACTATGTCAATACTAAAAAGGGAAAAATAAAAACTTTAACAAAAAAAAATATTTTTTTGTTAAAAAGTTTTTATTTGGTGTTTTTAATCCTTTTTTGATGTTACTGATAAAAGCGAATTTTAATTTCGGCTTAAGCGAATATTTTATTAAAATGCTTTCTTCTTATTTTGCTACTACTACGTCTACAACAATAAAAAAATATAAAAATAAAAAACCCGACTGAATAAAAACTAACTAAAAAGATAAAAACAAGTTGACGAAGGAATAAAGTATTATGCAGTCGGAGACGTTTACGTTTCATCCTTGCCGCACGATGTATGCACATATTATATTATGTACTGGCATTGCCCGCGGATCCGCCCGCGTTCAGATGAACAAAAACCAAATACTTAGGTTTTACATATTAATATACTCTTACAATGCAGTTTTAGTATTTTTTCTCGGAAATGATATTGATAGATGTCTCCGACTGCATAATACTTTATTCCTTCGTCAACTTGTTTTCATATTTTTAGTCAGCTTTTATATAGTCGGGTTTTTTCTTAAGTTTGTTTTAATTTATTTTTTTTAAAGTTTTTTTGTTATTTTTCAAGAAGATTTAAAGTCTCATAAGTAAAAATAATTTAGAATAAGCTTATAAAAAGATATATGCATATATTAATTACTTATATATATATATATATATATATATATATATATATATATATATATATATATATATATATATATATATATATATATATACATATATATATATATATACATATATATATATATATATATATATATATATACATGTATTAATGAAATAATGAATTCGTAATCGAACCCACGACGACTAATCGAATACATCATACAAGACGAATCGACTTTTGACCTCTAAATACATGCATTTGCATCGATCGCAGTTCCTACCTTTAATTCAATAAATGGATTTTGTTCTTAATGTGGATTATCCTTCAGACATTTTTCTCATATGTAAGTGTGCGAGTTTAAAAGAAAGAAAGATCACCTTTTTAACCGACTTCAAAAAGGAGGAGGTTCTCAGTTCGGATGTATTTTTTTATATTTGTTACCTCAGAACTTCATCATTTATTAAACGATTTAGACAATTTTTGTTTTGTTCAAAAGTGTATACTTCCAATTTTGCCCATTTTTTTAATAAGAAATACCACCCCTAAGTTCGGAAAAATAGCTAATGAAAATTTAACCAACTTCTAATAATTGTCATATTGGCTTTAAACTTTGCAAGTGTTTGTATTTCCGTTAATAGATCAGTGGTTCGGTATCTCGACAATCGATATCGATACTCTGATGTTAAGACCAGAAGTCGGATAGGTGGAACTCTTCAACGGCGAATAGTGGATACATTAAGTTTGGGCTTATTTTATTTGATTTGACAAACCCAATACGGTAGAATTGGATTTTAGAGCCTGATTTTTTAGTGTTACAAATAAAAGCGAATTTTATTGGACTTTAACTTCAATATTATGTTACTATGCCAATCACAAGATATAATTCATTTAGGACCAATTTTGTATATAAAATAAAGCATGCAAATACAATTTTAAATCAGCCGTTGTTCATTAATTCAATAAAAATAATACTCTTATATATTCTATTGCATTGAAACAGAGATAGCATAATGTTAGTTTTTTTTCTATTATAATAAAAGTAGCTATTTTTATTTATTGACATTTATTTACTTATCACAGTAATGATGTGATGATTCATATAATATTTATATTTTTGTTTTAACTGCCTCGGTGATTTAGTGGCTAGCATGTACGGCTGCACACTCAGAGGTCCTGGGTTCGAGTCCCGGGTCGGGCCAAGTTTAGTTATTGAGTCTTTCTGTATAGTAAGTCTTAGTAACAGCCCGGAGTTGGGAAGTTGGCGGTGTTTCACCCCCGTGCCTCGGAGAGCACGTAAAGCCGTCGGTCCTGCGCCTTAACTCTCACGGTTGTGTCGAGCAGTCGTTCCACCTGAGTATGAGAGTGACAGGAATAGAGAATGCACTATAATATCTCCTGCGCAGTTGGCTAATCTCAATGAGATTGGCCGCCGTGGCCGGAATCGGTCAGAAGAACATCATCATATTGTTTTAAAACATATATATTATTCTAAAACATTACTTTTTGGCTTCATGTTTAGTTCTATGACACTATAACATTATTCCTTAATCGAGGGATTTTTATGCTATGGTACTAATATCAATATTCGTTATCGAAGGTGGCAGAATGGTGCGAATCTCCATCGCATCTCCGCGCGATGCCTAATTTTGATCTGCCCATTGAGATGTCGAGTAGCATCGGTATGCATAATGTGAGTTCATGGCTTTTTATTAATTTTCATACAAATCAAGGTTTCAAAGGTATAATGTTAAAAAAATATAAAAATAACCATATATAGCAAGTGAAAAGATGTGCATATGGAACTTTTAACAAAATTGAAATAATTTTAAAAATGTGGGTTATATCATTTTTACCATTTATGCCTTAATATAATTGTTTTTGTATCTCTATGTTATATTGCAATTTGATGATATACAGAGTTTTGAGAAGCTGGTTCGATGCCCGCCTGGGGTAAAAGGAACAGTTGTAGGTAATAAAATCGTTTATTCCGGTGTCTCCATTGGTTAAATTAAATTACAAAGTGATATCCCCCTATACTTTTTGGTAACTGCAAAACTTGAAAGGTTATTAACATTGTATTTAGCGAATTGTCTTCATCAATTTAAATTTTGATGTTACGATTAATATGTTGTAACAGGTTTGAGTCTATACTCTATTTGAGTTAAGCAATTTAATTATTAATAACAGTATGAATATGTATATATTCAAGTATTCCCTGGAAGAGGATAATCTGATAAGGGCCGTAAAATATATAATAATTACACTACAGGACTTAAACGCGTTTGAGTCCCGAAGTGTAATTATTACGAGATAATTATGGAACGCGAAAATTTATAAAGTTAGACTGTAAAATAATAATGAAAAGGTAGTTCTTTTAATGTTAAAGGTTGTTCTTTTAACTGTTAGACACGAGCCTCCCCTCAATATGAGGAAGATTAGCCCATTACTGGGGTATGGATTGTTCTAATTTTATATTGGACTTTATCCCATCCCATTGCTGGGCACTAGTCTCCTTTTAATGCGCAGTGGACAAGGTTACGGTGCACCACGCTGGCGAAATATAGGCTGGTGAACTTCACATGTCTTTCGAAGGTTTCTCAGACGCTACAGGTTTCACGATGTTTTCCTTCACCGTAAGACAAGTTGGAAATGATTCGCATGTAAATTTTAGAGGTACGAAACCCGGGATTGCATATTATTTGCAGAAATTTATATTTGAGAGAACCTAGCAAATATTCGTATGACATGTAAAGTCCAACACTTGGTCAGCGTGGTGGTGTACGGCCTGAGCCCCCTCGCATTAAGGCCCACCCCTAGCTGTGGGACATAAAGGGGTGGAATTATTATCATATCCATTTCCTATCCAGGATCTGGAATCCCCAGACGTGATATCCTCATCAACTCAAGAAGATAGATCAGCTTATCAAGCGATGTTGGACCCCTACACGGGGTCGGTCGCGCTAAGGCATACCGCGCCTAGAAGTAACCCGCCACGCAGGAAAGTGCAATTGGTAAGTTTTTTTTGTTGTTCCTTTGGTTTGTTTTAGTGTATGTTTGTGTTTATGATCCTTTTCTTATTTTTCGGAAATTATTAATAGCCTGGATGTTTTGTTGGTTGTTTGACGAATTCAAAAAGGGTTTATTATGTTATACATAGTTTTCTCTTTTGAACGGCTGTTTAGATGTTCATGCAAAGGACACTGTATCTTTTCCGACTCGCGAGATAAAATCGTGACAACTTGGCTAAAAACACAATGTAAATATCATTTATAGTCTATAGTGGTCTGGATTAGTGTAGATATTTGTCAGGAAATTTTGGGCTTATCAAATTCGGTTCAGTAGTTGCATAGTGAACGATTGCAAACAAATACTTAGACAAATCTTTCCTCTTTAATATATGTAGATAAAAATATATGTACGTTTCGACAGTTGTTTAACTTTACCCCAAAAAATATTAAATTCGATTTAAACAATAAGTAAAAGTCATAGTTATCTTTAAAAAAATATTATTCATTCAAATAAGAATAATATTATAAATAATCTGAAATATTTACAAAAATAAATGTTTTTTTTCCCCAAAAATGCATCTGTTAGTTTTCTTAAAAACTTCTTAAAAATTACATCACTATAAAAGCTGATGCATTGAAGATATTTCATTGAAAACGTATTCGACGTTTACGATCATTATAACAATTATAAAAACCAGTTTCGCTTATATCATCTGATGGTATTGTCAGTAGAAAAGCAAAGCGCATAAGTTAAATTTTGACAAAAAAAATATTTCTATATTTTGCTTCTGTGATAAAATAATAAAATTGTGGAACCCTAATTCTTTTTCTAAAATAAAAGTAGCTTAAGTTAATCCTTATAACATCAGCCATCTGCCGTCATATCAGTGAAAGTCCCGTCAAAATCAGTCCAGCCGTTTTGGAGATTAGCCGGAACAAACGGACAGAAAATTAAAAAAAAATGAGTTTTTCTTATATATATAATTTCATATGTATTAAGTAAAAAGTTGTTATTTTGACATTACAAACAGACACTTCTATTTTATTTATCTGTAGAATACTCAGGATTTGAAAACAATTTTATTTCTTATTATTTAATCCCGGCTCCCACTACGATTTACTCGTGTGTGTGCGAAATGCGAAAGTTTGTTTCGCATTTATATTTATTTCGCGTTATGGTTGAAGTTCGCCCATATAATATATACCTAATCATTATTGATAATTTGAGGAAAACATATATGAATAAAACTTACTTTAATCTATATAAAAAAAAAACTGGTTCGGATTTTTTTTGTTTATAATACTAAAGTCGATAGCTACTAAATAAAAAAAAGAAAAAAGAGGAGAAAAAGGTACTCAACTGTTTTATCTTTGTCTATTTATATATAGATACACCTGGTTACCATACGAATTGACATTTTCTACCAGTCTTCATCAATACATTTATACAAACTAACAAAAATGAAGAAACTTTAAATTTCTACTTACCCACTTTTGTCTTTATACTCATGACCTAAGAGATAGAATTATTTTAATATATAAGTCTTTATTTGTACATGTATATAAAAGTTACGTTATCTGTCTGTCGATATGACGTAACATCCTTTCTAATAAACTTATTTCTCACTAAGTAATTAATAGTATAAAAACAATAAATATCCGAATACCTAATATTTCGAATACATACCTGGATGGAAAGATGACTTAAACCTTAAAAACTCTAGTAAGTCTAGTAAAGTTATCAAGAGTGTACTTTAGGTAGTTAGCTCTCAATACAAAATGTCTACGAGTATTTCACCCCTTTCAAGTTTTATTTGCGCAACAATAAGTAGCCTGTGCGCATCTCCAAGGTCCAATCTATTTTTATACCAAAATCCATCTAAATTGGTTCAATGGTTTAAGCGTGAAAACGTAGCAGACAGACGGACAGTTACTTTCGCATTTATAATAAAAACGTAATAACGTATTAACATTTTAGCAGTTGGTATGGAATAAATAGGTAGACTATAAATACATAAGTATAGAAAAGTAGGTGAGTAAAGTACTTTATATATATATTTATATATATATTTATATATATATATATATATATATATATATATATATATATATATATATATAGTTTTATTTAAAACTCACCCTCGCTTCGCTCGGGTTCGTCCCTAGCTAAGTATAGATAAGAAACAAAAATTATTTAAGCTTTCATTTACAGATTTAATCAGTTTAAAACAGTTCTTACTGCAGCGTGTTTATTTATTCTTATGTGAATTGAAAACCAATAAAAACGATTTCCCATACCGTTTCCGCGACACCATTGTTTATAAAACTGATCGCTACTGTTATACATTGGTTATGCAATACCATTATGCTGTTCTACGATTTGTGAGGTAGAGCGGAGTTTCTCAAATGATATATGAATAGGGGTGAGGCTATGATGGTCATTGGGGGCTTGTAGGGTTTGGTTATGGTACCTACCTATAAAAGGCTTGTGACTTACATCCCACTGAAGCCACAAATCAGATCTGTCCATCCATATACAAAGTTAAAAAATGCAATTACAAACAGCTTCAAGGGATTGCAGACCCTGAGTATTTCATTTTAATTTCAACTTGATGCCTACACGCGTTTCTGAGAAAAAGTGTCTTTACAAACAGACAGACAGCTGGATAGCGAAATGTCCAAGAGGGCCCTTTTTTCCATTTGAGGTACGGAATCCCAAAAATCAATGGTTACGACTATAAAAACATCCTACTAATATTATAAACGCGAAAGTTTATAAGAATGTATGTATGGATGTATGTTTGTTACTCTTCCACGCCAGAACGGCTGAACGGATCATATTATAGGATATAGATTATAGACTGGAATAACACCTTTAAAAGGAATAACACTTTTAAAGATTTAACATGGCACTTGATGTTTACTAGCTCCGTTTTTACATTACATTCATATATATACATTCTATGAGTGTCTTGTTTTAATTTTAACACAAATGTTTGTAGGGTCAATACATGCAAGCATTGGTTATTATTATTTGTAAAAATTGAATTAAAATTCTAACTTACAAGTAACTTTATGTATGCTGGGAGGGTACGACTTTTGATCTCAAAATTAGATTCTCGATTTCCGGTGATAGGCCATCATCTTTGGACCACTTAGACTCTTTATTTTATCATTAGTCCCAATGGTGTAGAAGCTAGGATGTATGACCTGGAAGGTACAGGTAATTAGGTTTTTTGTGAAGAAATTCATAGCAACAGTCCAGAGTTGAGAAGTGGCGGTGGTTCATCCTGATGGCTTAGAAAGTTTGTAAAGCTGTCTATCTTGCACGTGATAGGTCAACGCGAATATCGCATTGTCGTTACACCAGAATATGATAGTGAAAGGAACAGTGGATCCAGGTCAGGGGCCTAACTTTATTGAAGAATTACTTAGCATATTTTCCAGGACGTGCTCAAATTCTATTGGGATTCTATCAAAATTAAAACCGATGTTAAAAATATATGTACATATTTTAAAAAAATATCGGAAATTTTCTCGATTCACAACAAAGAAGTTAGACCTTGATCCCAATTATTAATGAATTAGTAATCAAAATATAGCAATTGAATAAATTTAATTATTATCAATTAAATTCGCAAGTTTTCAGTCGTTGCTTCAAGGGCACGTGATATTGGGCTCGATAAAGAAATAAAATATTATTCAAGCTTTATCCTATAAAATTTAAAAGGAAATAAATGAATGAATGAATATTTGTTTATCACAATGTTTTAACGTCTTCCTTGATGGAAGTCAAAACTAAAGGAATGGCTTTTTTACTTTATTCTAGCTCTGATATATTCAAGGTTACACATATACGCGTATCTCAATACTACCATTAAATATAAAAGTTTTCGTGCGTGCGTGCTTGAGTGCGCGCGTGTGTGTTTGTGTGCGGATATAGCGAAAAGAAGATGATCTCTGATTTTCAAAATATAAAATTTAAAGAACTACGTCTAACAATATCAAAACAAAAACGCTATTTTTTTCATAAATATGTATGTCATTTTGGCGTTCAGTTTACGGTATACACTAGTCTTTATTTTCATCTTCCAAGCAGCCTCCAGAAGAAGACGACAGATGTAGCCTGGACAGCGTCAGCGGCTGTTCCATGGAGTCAGAGGATGAACCACCTCCTCCGCCGCCCCAACATGTGCAGGATACCAGTGAAGAGGACAATACTAAGAGGTCAGTTCTATTCTTATAATGAGCTTTAGACCTCTAGTAATAGATTTAAAACAGAACAGTTTTGATCATTTATATACTAGCGTTTTCCAAATCAATTATGTATTATCTTTAAAAACCATAGAGCCTATGTGTTACTCTGATGTATAAGCTATATTTCTGTAAAGTTTCATCGAAATCCGTTCTACTGAACGGATGTGTTTGCATCAAACTTTCGCGTTTATAATCACTACATATTATAAAATGAAATCCTCCGCCGCGTCTGTCCGTTTGAACCCGATAAACTCAAAAACTAAACTATCGATTTTTTTATACCAGCCGATACACAAAGCACACCGACTTCGAAAATATCTGAATAGATATCTATTTTAAATGGAAACTATCAATCAGTTATTATTTACTTTTTAGTCAATTTTTTCATGTCGGTTTTTATTTTTTATTTTTTTTTGTAATAATGTATGATAAAAATAATACACAATATTCTTTTGTATTTTTAAGCATTAGTTCTCTTCCCATTGAAAGAGAGATAGCATAATATTATATTATTTAATATTATTTTTATTACAATAAAATCCGTTAGGTACATTTATTTATCAACATTTATTTAGTTATCACTCAATATACAAATTGTCATTTGTATACTGTTGTAAAACATTATTTTTTGGCTTCATGTTTAGTTCTACGACATTCTGCCTATATTGTTTCTTAGTCTGATACTATGACTTGGAGTAACTTCGGATATTGCTATATAGATATACACACATACGTGTATAATAATCACGCTCTTAAATTAGTATATCGTAAAAGAGAACCGAAAAATCGTTTACTTTTAATTTTCCAAAATCTTCTCTTCCATAATACTTTATTAGATTTACGCGAATATTTAACATTTTAAATCTAATATATATATATATATATATATATATATATATATATATATATATATATATATATATATATAATCAAATCATAAAAAAACTATCTGATCGAATTTTTTTGCGAATTTATATTGATATTTCGTTCCCGACGTTTCTTCTATTCTAGATCAAAATCAACGAACACAGTGAGTGAGTGCAGCGACCCCATCCCGGAGTACTCCGCGGCTGAGGAGTTCAGGGACGAGAGGTCCTGGCTGACCGTGCAGCACGGGGGCGGATGCGCAGTCTGCGACATGAAGGTATGCTGGTTCAAATCCTGTACTGTACTGTTTGAAAATGTCTCACTTTCCATAGTAATATTATAAATGGTAAAGTAATTACGTAGTATGTCTGTTAGGTTTTCACGCCTGAATCACTGAACCAATTTTAATGGATGTCGGTATATAGATAGACAAAATTTTGGAGAATGATATAGGTTTTGGAGAATGATATACTATATGTCGCGAAAATGAACGAATGAATGAACTTGAAGGAGGTGAAATATTGCAAGGTTAAAAAAAAATTAAATCTATTGCGAAACAGTTGAGAGGCCATCAGAACTCATATGATAATTATTATTTAATGGTCACTAACATAGAACAAAATTTACATTTTTCCGCAGTTCCGCATGTGTAATACGTCTTTAAAATCTATATACCTATGTGTATTAGCTATATTATTGTAAAGTTTCATCAAAATTCCTTCAGTTACTTTTTCGTTAAAGAGTAACAAACATACATCCATCCACACAAACTTTCACGTTTGGAATATTAGCAGGATAGTATTTTTTCACAAAAATTGAATTTTACAAAAGTAAATAACAACTCACTTAATAAACGACATTGAAACAAAGTTAAAAAATTAAAGATAATTTAAAAACTGAACCATTCGCCATTTATAATATTAGCAATATTTTTTCAAATAAAAAAAAGAATTCCACAAATAAAACAATGAATGAATAAAAATGCTATTCATTCACATAAAAAAATCTAATAATATATTATAAAAACTAAATCATTCGCCAGGTGATAGAGCCGTTCAAGCGCGTCGTCTCGCACGGCGGCTACGAGCGAGGTGGCGCGGCGCTTATTGTGTTCAGCGCGTGCTACTTGCCGGACAACGCGCGCGCCGACTACCGCTATGTTATGGACAACTTGTTCCTGTGAGTGAGTATAACCCTACAAGCCCACACACACTCACACAAACTCCTTGTAATAAGTCTAATTGAATAAAGTTTATTCCATCACGTTCACTTGTTCGCTAATGCTATCTCACTCACTCTCATTCACTCGTTCTCAATTTTGTTTGTACAATCTCACTCACTCGTTAACTCGTACTAACTAACTTCTCTGTAAGGCATTAACTCATATAATCTCACTCACTCATTCTCTCATTCGCTCATACTATCTCATTCAGTTGTATTTTTTTTGTAACTTATCATCAAAACAATCAGTCGCTAGACTATAAACAGATTTGGTGAAGGTGGGTGACGTAGAGAGTAATATTTCATGTGAATGTTTTCTATCAGACTTTATGGGCACTCAACAATAATGTGACACTTTTTTAATCTTTGTATACTCTATGGAATGGGGAATATGCGTGTGATTTTAATAAAGATGAAATATAATTTTTTTATTATCTTTATTGCTTTTGAATTAAGCCTATATCAATATTTTTAATGTAATTTATTTTTGATTAAGAAAATTATTATTGAAAAGTGCAAATATATGTGGGAAATTCAAAGTAGTTGAAACGCACGCCATTGGTCAGACCGAATATGACGTGAAAGTATGATCATAACAGAGCAATTAACGATTTTGTCGCTACAAATTTAGTCTTCATTTTTTGTATATATCATACTGTGACGTCACGCTGAGCGCGCGAAATGGCGGGCGTTTAAAGTATCCGTCTCACTATATCAAATTTCATCATAATCTGTACAGTGGATTTCTCGTGTTGCGGTCACAGACAGACACAGCCAAAAATCCTAATAACTATAGATTCGGCATCTGTATCGATAATACGGACTATTTTAATAAGATTTTCCAAAAAATATTTAATGTGCAGATTCGATTCGCAGTTAGATTTTACTACACAGAGTGGTCCAAACGTTGACGTCAAAAAATAATATTTAGGTCCCTCGTATCATGGATTGTAAACGTGGGCACTACTCTTTTACCTTCAAGAACAATGGGCCGAGAAGTCTTGAAATCGAATTATTGCTATCTCTTTCAAAACCCTTTGTAAATTAATTTTTTTTTTTCACATTAATCTGCTTTATTAACCAAACCACTTCTTACTTAAAAAAATTCTTACCCAACCTCTGAAGCTATTTGTTAGTTAGTTTCCAGTATTCTTATCATTAAATAATAAAAGTAATTACCGTTGTATAAGCTCAGTAAATTTTAACCCCCATTTACTAGTAACTATATATTGATCAAATTACTCCAATTATCCCCTGTTTTTATTTTTTAATGTTAGGAAATGCATTTACATAACCACCTGCATACATACAGGTGGTTATGTGGAACTCATCGGCCACAAAGTTTGACTTAATGAGGCGTCACTCTTCTATCGGAGAAGTACCAGGAACAGCCGTAACCCGCATATTACACCGCCGTACAGGCCACGTACTAATGTGTCGTTTGGCTCCTGGATTGCCGGACTCTAATAACCACCATGACAAGATTAACACAAATCGGGAGGAATCCCTGTTTCCTGAAGTAGTAACTTTTAACCCCCAATTTACTAGTGAAGTAATTCCAACCCCTATATCAAGGTACGTGACGTGGAGCCTGGAGCGGCTGGTGACGGACGAATATGTATTGGTGTACCTGCACGGTAGCGCGGGCCGTCGTCGCATGCCGAGCTTCACGTGGCTGCACGAGTGCTACAAGCTGTTGGACAGACGGTATGTATGATTTGGTTTAAAAAAAATGATTTTATTTTGGAAAAAAAAAATTTTTTTGGGGATTTTTTAGTACTTTTTGCGAATTGTGCACACTGTTGGATAGACGGTGTGGTTTTGATGTTGTTTTCGTATTCTTTTTTGTGTATTTTGTTGATGGTACTATGTGGCATTATGTCATAAAAGTTTAAATCTTTTTTAATCATAGAAAAAAAAGTACAAAAAATATTGGTTCTATGCTGTAATTAAAAGCTTCGTCGTCTTAGTGGGAAGTTAAAAAAGATGTAATTTTTTTTATAACTTCAGATTAAGAAAAAGTCTGAAACACTTGTACCTGGTGCACCCAACGTTTTGGCTGAAGTCTTTTGTCCTCGTAGCTAAGGCTTTTGTGAGGTAAGTGTTTATTTTAACTGAAATGTTTTTTTTAATTATTGAATCTATTTGAGAGTTTTTTTTAATAAAAAATAGATCTTGCTAAGAATTTACTTTATCTTACTTACATTTGTATACAATTAAATTGAAAAAACATGTACTAATTAACAATTTAAAAGTTCTTATAAATTTCTATTTGAATAAAGTATATTTTGTTTAGATTTAAAATCCAGTACATACAATAGAATAAAACAATATTTTTATTTATTGTTAATATTTGAAGTTTTGACAATATTGAAAAAAACTGTTTTTTCTCATATTTTTCCACCACTCCAGTTCAAAGTTCCTTCGGAAGCTGACATATGTGAAGAGTCTCAAAGAACTGCTAGAGAAAGTGCCCGTGGAGCCGAATGCTATTCCAGAAATCGTGAAACAATACGACGAGCATAGGCAATAATCATGTTTATATGTACGGGTACATCGGTCTGTAATATACAAAATATGAGATAACCTGAGCTCCATAGTTTTGTGTGCTTCATAGTTTTGAGTTTTAAAAACGATTGTTTGGCACCGAATAAAAAAACTATTTTAATCTAATTTAGTAAATATGTATATGTTTTAATTGTTCTTTTTTTGTATGTATCGTTTAAAAATCTATTTCATAATATAAATAATCGATTTTCTTTTTTTTCCAAGACTTCGATAAAATTGCGACCAATTCAAATTATCTTGTATATTATAGATTGATTTTAGCAAAATTCACCACTAGATGGCGTTTAATATAATTACTATGCACAGACAGAAAGATTTCTATACAAACACTATAGCTAGAGCTTTTAATGCTTTAAAATGCCATAAGTCATCATATTTTGGAAAACATGTATGAACTGTATTTATTCATGTGACTTTTAATAATAATAAAAAAAAAACAAAAAAATAATAATTATAGACTAAAATTAACATTCTTATTCTTTTTATAATAATTTTTTTTGTTATTAAAAGTTACTTAAATAGAATTGGGCAAATCGATAAAATGAATCGAATCAAGAAAGAGTAAGTAAATATTTACGTTTCTTTATTGCGGCAATAATAAAAAATAATGTTTTTTTATTTGTTGTATTATTACATAATCGTAGTACAAAAATTTACTTATGCTTTATTGTTTTGGGAAATAAAAAAATAATAATAAAGTGTATCAATCCTCGGGTAGATGGCAGTTATAGATTAAAAATGTAATCAAAATTAAAAAAAAAAACCAATAGCTTTTTATAGATTTTTGCACAATTTTCAACAGTTAACAAAAAATAGCTTAGTTAAGGAAATTAAGAATTTTCTTTTTTTTTATAAAAAATATCGTTCTACCCACAAATTTGTCATTTTTGATGGAATTTGCACTTTTAATAGATTGTAACAATTATCTATTCTATCTAATATATATTTTTTAAATATTACATCTATTGATTGTGAAAGTTTCATCAAATTTGTAATTTCAACGCCATTTTACGCCAAATTTGATAGAGAATCTCTATTTTTCCTATTTCACCTTAGAAAATATATTTTTACTGAAGAAGAAAAAAATTATATTTAAAATGTCATGTCGGTTGAAGCTAAACTAACGTTTTAGAATTAATTTGTTCAAAAAAAGTATTCGTAATTTGATTTTATATATTTAAATGTACATAACCAAAGGAATTGATTAGTTCTAAATATCGAGACATTTCTTCATATTTATTTAAAAAATAACTACTTTTTTTATTCAAAATCAAAATCCGTTCTTTTTCATGACATGACATTTGACCCCTCAGTGTTGCCATATCAAAAAATGTAAATAATTTATTTTTAGTAATAGTATTATTTAATTTGGAGCAACGAAACCTATATTTAAATTATTTTGAAACGAATCGAAAAGTAATAAAAATATGTTATACAAGTGAATCTCGTAAATTAAGTGTTTTAGAATTAAAAAAAAACAAATTTTCCTTTTTTTTTGGAAGATTTAAGAGAAAAAAATTAATCATAAACATTTTCGTATCGCCTTCTAAGTTCCTATATGAGTATTTTTTGTTTATTTTTTTTTTGAAGTAGAATACAGTATTACTTTTTTGTTCAATTAAAGAATAGGTCTAATTAAAAAATTATATAAAAATGATTTCACCTTTCAATAATCATGAAAGGCGGTACAAGATTTTTTTAAATTAATATTATTTTATTTTCATATTCAAAAAATTGATGTACCTTGACTTTGTACCTAAACTGATTAAAAAAAATCCTTTATACATTCAGAACTTTATCACAGTAATTGTTATAGCTAAATTTATGAACCATTCTTCATATTTATATACAAATGTTGCGAGCAATCTCAGGATCAACCCCATGGTTCATATTTTATGTACACCAGTGGCGAAGGGTCCGTAAAAGTACCTTAAAATTATTTGCTATAATTTTACATACATTTATTTTTTTAAAAGTATAAATGTTCTTTTGAAACATAAGATATATATATATATATATATATATATATATATATATATATACAAGCGGCTCACCCTCGCTTCGCTCGGGTTCGTCGCTAGGTACGTTTTAAATAGATATAAATAGTTATTAGCCAGTGTTATTAGCCATATAAATATTTTTTTTCGTTAATTTTTCTGACGTTTTAATACCTAGGTATTAACCTTTTCCGGAATGAGAGAAATCCAAAAAATCAAATATCATAAAAATTGGTCCAGCCGTTCTTGAGTCTTGTATACGGGAACGCAGTCGAACGGGCTAAAAAGTATCCTATGTCCGTCTCCTGGTTCTAAGCTACCTCCCCACCAAGTTTCAGCCAAATCGGTTCAGCCGTTCTTGAATTATAAATAGTGTAACTAACACGACTTTCTTTTATATATATATATATATATATATATATATATATATATATATATATATAGTGTATCAACTATCCGGTATCCATAACACAAGCCTCGTAGCTTACCTACCATGGAACTAGATGGTGCTGTGTGTTGATGTCCCAACATATTTATTTATAGCTTTCCTCAATAAACGGGCTATCTAATGCAAAAACAATTCTTCAAATCGGTTTAGTATTTCCTGAGATTAGCGCGTTCAAAGAATCTCTGCATCTTTATAATATTAGTAAAGATGAAATTAATAATATATTTTTTTTTAAATAAATGAAATATTCTGAATTATATTGTTTTAAAAAACTTCATGAGTACTCACCAGTTCGAAAAGAAAAATCTTAGGTCATGAGAAAAACTGGTGAAGATTATCAAATCTTAATTGTAAATTACAATAATTCTCCACCATTGAAATAGCTCGAAGACGATTTCCCAAATGATTACTGAGATAAAGTTTCGATGTTTTAAATTAAAAATATAAATAATAAGGCACTGGCTTTATGTATAGATAATAATAGTTAGTGAAAGTGGTTCTGTAGAGATTATGTGTAAGATTTATTGTATATTGTTGTGTGTGGAATTATTTTTTTTAATCTATTTAAAAAATGAAGTTTTTTTACTTTACAGCAAAATTAACATTTTAAATATAAATAAAATTAAAATTAGCAAAAAAATATCTTATTTTTTTTAAATAAAAATAAGTTTTTTTTTAAATAAATAGAACGAATGCATATGAAATCTTTTCATAATTTTAAAAACAAAATATCTAATAAAAGCTGTTTTTTAGGTGAATAAAAATAATTTCACACTATTAAAATGTATGCACAATAATAGTATGTCGCTTGTAAGAGACATTTTTTTACAAGTTTTTGAACGCATTCCGAGTTTTTTGGTGCTTTGCAACTTTTTTTGTAATAATAATGATGAAACACAACATATATATATATATACCTATACAATTGTACAGTTAATATTATTATTATTTTAAAGAAAAGTAAGTTTTTTTTGAAAAGTATTAATTTTGAAAGTATCACTTGAAAATTTAATAATGTACGTACTGCTTACATAAAAAGTAAATCATATAAAATATAAATGTGTGTAACGTTTTTACTAGACATTGAATAATATGCACTATAGATACAAAAAAAATTCAAATTCAGTTTGTTTTTTTTTTTTTTTTTATATATATAAACACTATAACATTTAAAACTATTAATATAAAAAATAGTGATAGAATATTGTAGTAATATGCTTTTGTTTCCACAATTTATTCCTTACAAGGATATTTTGTTTTGTTTTTTTGCTGCTGTAACTCTGTAGTGCATATTATTTTTTGAATTGCAGTATGTATTGTGTAGGTGTGTGTTGTTTTAGAGTGGCGTGACGTCATCATTGTATGGGATGGTAACAGTCTAACACCTAGTTAAAACTCAAAATAAAAGCTGAAATGTACTGTAAGATGTTTGGAACAAAATGATTTTGAACTTAGGAGGACCTATGTATGGGAATTGGGAACTCCTGTCTAAAAGTTTTTATTTTTTTATTTTAAGGCCGTTTTTTTGAACTTACTTCTTTCGTTTCAAATAGCTTTATGTAAAATGTTTAATATTATTGAAATAAAAAAAAGAATGTTTTTGGAATGGCAAAAATATTGGTATTTTCGACAAGACTGTTACTACCAAATATTTGTAAACGGCTCGCGCGTAGAAACTGTTGTAATATGGATAAATATGCGAAAATGTGTGGAAAATGTACCGACGGGCAGTTATTATTATGTATAAACGATGGTTAACCGAAATTGAGATTTTTATGTTTCTCTCAACTGGATTGTATGGTCTTATAGCCAACTAATCTTTACTAGTGTTCGCGTTGTGGTCGAAATTCTATCAAAATCATTTTTGAACATTTGTGGAAAACATACGTATAGTAATAGCATTCATCTATGTATATAACTTAAACTCGTCAATGGCTACTAAATCAGTTCACAAACAAGAGAAAAAGGTACTTAACTGTTTTCTTTGCCTATTTATATACAGATTATGGTTAATAATAAATTCTGTAAAAAAAGCTGTATCGAATTTCAAAATCACTGGTAAAATATATTTTTCTCATAAAAAACGGTCATTCCATATATTCACACGCTTGGCATTTGCCGAAAACTTCATATATCTACAAACGCACAGTATGTTGCAAATGTTCTTTGATTTGTGCACAAAAACCATGGATGGACATTGGACATGGTCGGAACGGCCACAAGTGCTTTGTTAGTATTTATCAATCTATCAACCGAAATTTGGTTGATGACAATATCTATATAATAACAACTCAAAATATCGAGATAGCAATAATTTTAAGTCATGCTCAATTCGGTTAACCATATAAACTAATTACTTTTTTAAACATTTTTCCATTATTCAAAGTATATTTTTTTTTCATTCATTTATTATAATGAAAAAAAAATACTAATTATTATTATTACTTTATAGTTATTTGTACATTCCGTTATTGTGAATTGTCATTTGAACAGTATTTTTCTTGTTTTATTGTTTTC